TCCTAGCTCTATGGCGCAAACTGATTCCAAGATAGATTACACAACACTTTTGAGTTCCTGGGGTCCACACTAACAGAGAGAAGCAGTGTGAGCTAAGAAGGGGATTCCTAGACTGTGTAGGATCAGCCCCTCAGATGATCCCCAGCCCTGGATATCAGAGTGGGAGTAGACACTAAGGAGCCTTGCCAGGCATGTCATGAAATGTCTGGTGGGCATGGGGAATGGGCACCACAGGTGAGGGCAGCAAGACTGGGGCCAGCAGCTGTGGCCACTGTGCTGAGCCCAGCTTCCAGAAGGACACTTCCACAAGCGGTCAGGGCAGGAAGGGAGAAAGCAGAGGAGCAGACTGTTAGCACAGTGATGTTAACAGATCCTCCCCCAAGGGAATCTCAGAAAGAGCTGGAGAAGGAGATCCAGGGAAGACTGGGACGTCTTCAAGTCGCACCAAGACAGAGGGACATGTTTTACTCCAGGGTGAGTGTGGCATGGAAAATGAGAGCTTGGTTGAACTAAGGACTTTCTTTTTGGTGAAACCGAAGGATATTTTGCACTGGAGTCCCCCGCTTCACTTGATACTTTAGCCTTAATTCACCACCTAGACTGTCAGCCATCTGAGGACAAGAATCATGTTCCAAGTCTGTCTGGCACGTCTGCCTAGTGGAGTGTTTCCAACATAACAGGTATCACAATTATTTATAGATATGTATCTCCTTCCTTCCTTCCTTCCTTCCTTCCTTCTCCCCTCCTTCTTTTCTTTCTTTCTTCTTTCTCTCTTTCTTCCTCTTCCTTCCTCCTTCCCTCCCTCCCTCCCTCTCTCTCCTTCCTTCCTTCCTTCCTTCCTTCCTTCCTTCCTTCCTTCTTTCCTTCCTTCCTTCCTTCTTTCCTTTCGAGTAGGATCCACACCCAGTATGGGGCTTGAACTCACAACCCTGAGATTAAGAGTCTCATGCTCTACCAGCTGAGCCAGCCAGGGACCCCTCTTTGCACATATTTTTAACAGTCTTTTTTGCGTGATGAATATGACATCCCAGAACACTGCCAATTACATAGCAGTGCAAAAGTTCATCTGTGCAATAGTGGACTCAAACATACATTTATGAAATAAGCTGTTGCAGTTGTCATTACTTACCACGATGACTTTTAAATTATATATTGAAATCATTCTAGCTTTTATGAGACATGGGGAGTTGAAATTAATTGCATAGGGAGTTAGTGTCTAAGGAGTGATAATAATCATGTGTGGCCATTAGAAGGAGAAGCCTGCAAAAGACAATGATAAAGAGGTTCATTTTCCTTAAGAGTCACTTACTAGACACTCAGGCTAAAGTTGTATCTCCAGAAATTCACGAGGAGAGGTCTTTTCCTCCGGGAAGACTGCTTTGGTTTACTCTGGAGGTGGAAGTTTTCTCATCAGCGAAAATGAACCAACAGGAGGAGCAGAATGTCCCTGGAAGCCAGAGCTGGCACAGGACAGAAGGGGCCACAGTCCAGGCCTGCTGTGCCAAGCTTGCACACGCTTGGCCCTGCCATGTACATGATGCTTTCCCACCTAGTATCTCATTTTGTCTTTGAAAACACCCTGAGGGACAGGCAGGGCCAGCGTCCTCAGCCTCACTGAAGGATTTCAGTAAAGAGTTATATGTCAAGACCACATTCCAAAGCAGGAACACTGATACCCCATGTCCCCCCACCCCTTGGGGTCTGTAAACGTCCCTGTGTTAAGTGGCGAGGCATTGCCCCACCCAACAGTCTCTTGGAAAGAAATACTGGGAATAAAATTCTTCACGGACGGAACGTGGTAGCAGAGGGCTTGTGTTTTCCTAGATCCTAGATTGAGCTCTTGAGGGAGGGAAGGCAAGACTCTGGGCTTGGGGTCAGGTATGTCAGCGGTGTTCGGCGTGAGTTCTGGGGCCTGGGTGGAGACAGGGCCCTCCCCGGCAAGAGAGGGCAGGAGGGCGGTGCTGCAGGCAGGATACCAGCCTCTGTCCTCTGTTCCCTGGAATCAGATTCCCAGCTTCCTTCAACGGCATGATTCCCCCTCTAGGAACAGCAGACTGGGGACCTCCAGGAACTCAGTCTCTGGGTCTCAGGAACCTGGGGCTCCACCTGGGGCTCAGAGGGCATTCTTGAATCTCTTCACTTCTGTCTTCTCATCTGTAAGTGCAGATACAATCAAGGGATTCACTTATTTGATGATTAATGAATTGATCTGTTGGTGCACTTTGGAGAAAAAAAATAAAAGATCAAGCAGATCAAGCCTTTAGCGTGGCGATGGAGGCCAACACACAGTCAGCCCTCCGTGAAGGCTGGCGATGGCTCTTGTCACGATGATGATGCAGGACTCAGGGGAAATAGAATAGAGCTGGATAGAAATACTTCACGTGACTATGTTATAGTAATTTTAATACCGAAAAGACGATCGTCCCCTCACACCAATGTATAAATGGAACCTGAAAAATAATCTGGTTTGGTTCTGTCTTCCATGACTTGTTGTCATGCTCCAAGGAGATCACACCTGCTGTGATTCTCTTATTAGGAGAAGTTACCGCCCAGTGGCCTGGGAGGTCCGACCATTCGAAGAAAACCATTTCATGTTCTGAAACCCGAGCTGGGGTTAAACCACATAGTTCTTTTATTCTCACTTCCTCTAATCTTGGCCAAGAAGCAACACGCACTCTTTCTCAGAAGCCCTCAGTCTGCCATTCTAAATGGAAGCGGCCCCATTCTCCATCCGAAGTCGTGCAGAGCAAATGTATAAGTTGCTCGAGCATTTTGTGCGAATGCCATTCTCAAAGGGCCTCAACTAAGCAGGAAAGGCTGTTTAAGGAGACGTGAACATGGATGAGGGGTCCAAGTTTGAGGACAGAACAGAAAAGCCTCGTCAGCTGACACAGCAAAGTGTGCTTCCTGGTGGGCAAATGCCGGCCATGGGCATCAGCTGAGCACTCGGGGGCAGCGGTGGGAATGGGGAGCACGGGCCAAGCTCTGGGTGTGTTCTTATCTCCCTCTTTCACACCATCACACCTTATATTTCTGCTCTTTGCACATAACTTGTCTGTCCTTGCCACCCCAAAGATGGGCCCTGGAATGGTCTGTGATGTTAGTACCATAAAATACAGGTTTCGGTCTCGGCTTCTTCTGACTGCTATTATTTTCCATCCTCTGGAGGGCATGGATCCCCAAATGGTTTTTCAATAATTTTTCGGGCTTCAGGACTTAGAAATGGCACCTGTGCCTGTCCTGATGTCATCAGACTCCTAACCATCCGCTTTTTGATAAAAATCAAGCCTTGCTCATTTTTAAATAAAAACCACTAGGTTCGTAGAAGTTTTATTAGGTGTAAGAGTGTCCATGTCCTTCTCCCAAGCCACAGCCATGATTCATCCCATTTCAGGATCTTGAAGAAGATATTAATATTTTGTCCGTTTTCAACTTGATTAAAAATTTCATGAGAATCATTGTTAATTTTGTGTAACGCCCGTTTTAAAGTTTACGACTGAATCTAACTGACAAGAATTCAGTCATTCGGCCTATAGTTATTGAGCACCTCATCTATGCCAGATGGGATCTGGGGGCACCGGCCATCAAGGATCTATGCCTTGCTCTGGGGGGCGCTCGGAGCCTGGAGGGATGGGGTGTCCTGCTGCTTTGCTCAGCCCCATGTGGCTCTGGAAAGGAAGAGCACACGCCCGGGATGGTGGGAGAGTGCACGACTGCTGGCTTGACCCCAGTCTGGCCTGCGCCTGGGGTCTGCAGCCTGCGTTCGGAGGGTAAGGACACTGAGAGGCCTGGTTAAAAGGGGACCTGATGTAAAGGCCTGCGTTGAGGTTGAATTACCTCTTCCAGTTTGCTGGCGGCTTGTAATCAAAGCTAACCCTGTAGAGCACAAGCTCCCTGTCAGGCCCTTCCTGAGCCCCTCAATGTATTATTTTGTGTTATGTCCTCCCCAGCAACCATGGTGACCCTGTTTTACATATGGGGAAATCGAGGCCCAAGAGGCCAAGGGCTGTGGAGTAAAATCACAGGGCCCTAAACATTTGAGCTGGAATGTGAAACTGGATCCTTCTGTGTCCAGAGCTGAGACACACGTGGCACTTGGTTTCATTGCTTGTTATCTACCTAGTGTCTCCAGGAGCACGAGTATAGAGAAGCTGCCCTCGTGCTCCTGATTCTGCCCCCGTCACTTTTTCTCCAGACAGTGGGCCTTTTCCCAGCAGCGCGTACCACGCAGGATGGTTTTATGGCGCCTGATGTCAGAGGACTCAAGTCTTGTGCTCCTGATGTATATCCTGATGGTTTGGCCCAGACGGGAGCAGAGGAAGCCAAGACTGTGAGCAGCTTTGTGACTACTCCTGGTGTTAGATGAGCACACAGTTACTTCCAACTGTACACAGTCTTATAATATTTCTGAAGTGCTTAAGAATTATGACTTTTTTTTTAAAGGTAGTTTCTACACCCAGGGTGGGGCTTGAACTCATGACCCTGAGAGCAAGAGTCATGTGCTCTATGGACGGAGTCAGCCAGGTACCCCAATCATGACCTTTTTTTTTTTAAAAAGATATTATTTATTTATTTGACAGAGATCACAAGGAGGCAGAGAGGCAGGCAGAGAGAGAGGAAGCAGGCTCCCCGGTGAGCAGAGAGCCCGCTGCGGGGCTCGATCCCAGGACCCTGGGACCATGACCCGAGCTGAAGGCAGAGGCTTAACCCACTGAGCCACCCAGGCGCCCCAGTATTTTCAATCATGACCTTTTTAATAACCGAGAGGCTGAGGCCAAGGTAGGCATCGAGGCCGTCTTCCCGAAGGATCTCTGAGGACCATGGACAGGCACCCCATCGGGGTACAGGCATCCAGCCCTCTCACTCCTCCTCTCAGGGCAGAGCCAGTGCTTCAGCCAGAAAAGCCGATTGGTCCTGCCTCATCAGGGCCCCAGAGCCCATCTCGTGAGCCTAGAAAGAGGGGCAACTTGAAAAAACCACCCAGACAACTTCCCCACGGGTTTGATTGTATAAATAATTTATTTCTGTTCACAGCATCATATATGCATATAAAAGGGAACAGGAACAGAAGAATGTTCAGGACAGAGAATTACAGCAGTAGAAACGAAAACTGAAACTGGGAGACGTCGTCCCATCACCATGACAGAGAATCTGTGAAGAGAATCCGTTTGAAACAAAACCGGCCTCCCTGTGTCTATGAGAAACAATTTTAAAAGCTCACGTGGGGAGGCCAGCTTCCTCTGTGTGAAACCCATTCATTCTCCAAAGGCCAGGAGGTATAATAAATCACTGGTGCTATGTCGGACCAGGGGGTCCCCCAAGACCACTCCAAGGTGAGTTGATGTGTGCTTCCTCTGTTTGGTCAGAGACAAAAATGGGCTATTATTAGGTCAAACAGGACAGAAATCAACTGAGACTCTTAACTATTAGTGGACACACCACAGGGCTTTACTTTACTGCACAATTACGAACAGCTGACTGCACCCTTAAGTCTTGAAAATGCAAAACCCAAAATCATGTAGCTTCGTTGGTTAAGCATGACAGGATTGGAACAGTGATCTTGAACCCAAGTATGGTTAGCACGAGATGGTGACAGTATTTGGCATCTGTAATGTCACAAAATAAATATATTATTCTCTCAATAGTGTGGAACTACCAAAATGTCAAAGTGCATAAGAAATTGTTACATGTGAAGAAAATAAAGGAAGATGGATTTTTTTTTAATAACTCTATACAGAATCTTCAGATGATGGGACCAGCCCATTTAGAAATCAGTGACTATGCTGTTGATATGTAAACCGAAATCCTGCAGGCTTTCCCACGTCTTTAGCTCTCTTTTCTCTACTGAGTTCCCACAAAAAGACCAGCATTGGAGAGGTACCAAATTCACCGACAAAAGATAAAAAAGGAAGATGGGCTGGGTTTCCTCTTTTTAAATATTTCATATGAGAATTGGGTTTCAAGCAGGAAGCCAGGACTTCAACCTCTGGTTCTTAAATTAACTTTCTGAGTGCAATGGACAATAGGCATGGATTTAGAATTTGATTTACTCACATGCTCAAGCATGATCATGCCCAATTTCTATAGGCCTCCTTTGTAAAGAAATTTCTCACAGTGGGGGGAGGGGCGATACACCTAATTCTACCTGTAAACATGAATTTTAAGAGGAAATAAAAACCAAACAGTTAAACGTCAAGTTTCCCTTTTGATACTGTGTTTCAGGGTAAATGACATCTTCTGCAAACCAAGACTCAGTCCTGATTATAAAAGATTTTTAAATTACATTATTAAAAATATGTATTTATTCTTCTTTTGCTTTATCTCTTTTCCAAAGCCTCTTTCAAGTAAACTGTGAAGTGCCTGAGTACAGGTGATCATTACATCACACGTTTTCTTTTATCTCAAGCACTCATTGTTTGCATTTGCTACGCAGGCCAGTTCCCACAAGAATGGATTAGGAAGGACCTCATCCTTGTGCTTTTCCTTCGCTCTTAAATCCATGCAACGAGGTCGGCTTTTGCAACAAGGTGGGGTTTTATTTTTTGGTGCATGACATCAAATACTCTAACGAGACATTTTTAATGAAATACTTAAACCAGATAGGCCACAATGAACCAAATTAGAAATTTGAACATGTCGCCACTTGCAGCGTAAAGGGATCTAAAAGGGCAAAGTCTTTTTTTTTTTTTCTCCCTAAGGTGAATATTTCCAAGGTGAGTATTCATTTGTAGAATTTTTTAAAAAATATGTCTGAAAACCAAAAACCCATCATCAGGCGGTTAGTATTAGAAGAGGCGTCCTTTGCAAAAACCATCTTGCATTTCAGCACACATCTGTAGCTGGTGTGCTTACACAAACCAATCAGTAGGCTAAGAGATTTTAAGATTCCACACATAGGGGTCTAGGTATTTATGCCGATTACACAGTATAGAGGGAGGTCCCTGTATCTACACACACACCCCATCCAGCATTTACGCCACAAGCCTTACCCTTTAAACACCTTTAACTATCCTGCAAACAGTAATACATCATTGGCCACCACCTCCAACAGTTTTTTTTTTTTTAATTTTTATTGGTCTCTTTGTGTGATAATGACCTACACATGGACAGGGTCCAAACCATCTGGAAGATGTCTGATTCCAGGCTGAAAAGCAGTTCTCACCAGAACTGGTCTTCCGTAGCCACCAAAAAGCACCAGAAAAGGGGCATCTTCGAGGCCATTCCCCAGCCAAGGCCAGCGCAGTGCCCGTGCTCTGGGCTATTGTATTGTTCCAGGCAGTCCTGTCATGGCCCAAACCACCACCTCATTTGGGCCCAGAGCAGGACAAATGAAATTTCAACAGGGGCCTGCCCTGTGACATAAATCATCCCCCTTCCAGAGCCCGTGAATGCAAGGGTCAGCGGTACCCGCCCCAGGACCTCCCACTGCCAGCATGCCTCCAAACGTGTACTCCCAGGGTTCTGGGAACCGCAGACCTCCGGTAACTCACAGGTGGGAGCCCCCAGGGAGGGCGGGGCAGCCTGAACTTCTGGCCCTCCTGGAGGAAGAAATCTCTTTTGTCTCTGACATCTGAGCCATCCACCTGGGCCAGGAAGGCGGACAGGAGGCCAGGCACGTCCACTCCCCAGCGCCCCCCCCCCATTAGTAGCTCTGGCATCCAGACAAAAGGTCCCCTGAGCTGGGGGTGGGGGTGGATCGAGGGCAGGCTAGCAAGTCAGCATACACACCCAGGTTAAGTCACTAGTCCTGCGTCTGGGCGCACAGATTCCGTTTTAAAAAGTCGAAGCATTGCTTTGGTTCTATGTCTTTGTTCGCGGGCGCAGATTCTCCTTCATCCACCCACCCACCCACCCATCCATCCATCCATCCATCCCTGACTCGCTCGCTCGCTCCCGGCTCGCTCCCCGCTCGCTCCCCACCGCGGCCGGCCGCATTACCGCTTCTTCTTCTGCTTGAGGGACTTCCTGCGTTTCAGGATCATCTCATAGAGCTTGTCCATGCCCTCGGTGAGGCCCTCGCCGATGATGGCGCACGCCGGCTGGACGTGGTAGGTGGTGGCCGGGATGAGCTCGTGCAGCGCCAGCTGCTTCTCGATCTCGGCCACCGGCAGAGATTTGGGGAGGTCCTGCTTGTTGGCGATGACCAGCAGCGGCGTGCCTTGGTTCTCGGCGAACTTGGTCACCTTGTGCAGCTCCGTCTTGGCCTCCTCCAGCCGGTCCACGTCCACTGAGTCCACCACGTAGATGATGCCGTCCGTGCAGCGGCTGTAGGACTTCCACAGCGGCCGCAGCTTCTCCTGGCCGCCCACGTCCCAGAAGTGGCAGCTGATGCCCTTGGCCGTGCCGTTGCTCAGCTTGATCTTCTCCGTGTTGAAGCCGATGGTGGGCACCGTGTTCACGAACTCGTTGAACTTGAGCCGGTAGAGCACCGTGGTCTTGCCGGCCGAGTCCAAGCCCAGCATGACGATGTGCAGGGACTGAAAGGCCGAGATGTTGGAGGAGATGTTGCCCATGGCTCCTCGCTGCGGCGCCGGCCACTGCGGCTGCGACGGGAGGGCGCCGCCCCCCGAGCAGTGACGGGCCCGACGCGGCCGGGCGCACCGGGGCCGCCCCTGTCGCGCTCGGCCTCGGGCACCCGCCCGGCCTCGGCGTCCCCGGGGCGCACCGCTCAGGGCGCTCAGACGCCGCGGCCCCCGCGCCCGCGCGGGCCGGGCATCGCGTCTCTCCCGCGGGCTTTTGTCTCCCACGAAGCCGCCTCCGCTGCCGCGGCTCAGGGTGCCCGCGCCCGGCGCCCTCCCCCGGCCCCGGCTCTCTCTGCGGCTGCCTCCGACCGCGCCCCCGCGTTCCGGCCGCTGCCCGGCTCTCTGCCGCCCGCCCGCCGGCGGCTCCCGGCGCCCAGCGCTCGCCTCTGCCTCCCCGGGCGGCGGGGCTGCTCCCGCTCCCGGGCGCGCCTCGGAGGCGCAGGCGGGGCGCGGGCTTCCCCGGGCGTCGCTGCCGGCGCGGCCGCCTGGCTGTCCCCGCAGTCCCCGCTCTGTCGCCTCCGCCGCCGCCGCCAGCCTGCAGCGGCGGGAGGGCGCCCGGCCCCGCCCCCGGCCCCGCCCCCGGCCCCGCCCCTCATGCCCCGCCCCCCACCGCCCCTAGCAGGGCGAGCACCTCCCCGCCCGCCCGCGCGCGCTGCTTTCGCGCCTTCCGAGCGTTCGAAATCACCCTCCGCGTCTCCCTCCCGCGCCGCGCGCAGACAATGGGCCCGGGCCCGGCTCTTCCTCCCCGACCGTTTCACGCATCTTATAAAAATAGTTCCAGGCTCCCGGAACCCCCCGCCTCCGAGCGCGGGCGGCACAGCCTGCCCGGGGAGCGGGGTCGGGGTAGGGGCTCGGTATCGTTGAGCAGGCGCCGGCGCGGCCCGGAATCCGGAGTCCAGAGAGGGGCGGGCAAGGGCCTCTTCTGCCCGGGGGTCCGGGAGGCGCCCAAAGTGGGCGTGAAAGTGCCCCGCGGGGGAAGGGATTGTGGGGTCGGGTCCCCAGAAGAGGGTAATGGAAGGCGAACGCCGCCGCGGTGCTCAGCCAGTCTGCAGCTCACGACTGACCCAGCACTGGCGCTTTCCACTCTGGCGCCCTTTGCGGCGCTCAGGACCCGTGCCCTCCTTGATGTCCTGACAGGCTTTCCTTGCCCGAGCTCCAGGGCCACTGCCGCTCTTGGAGCTCAGGCCTGTGCCCAGGAAGCACCGGAGGAGGCCCAGCTTTATCTAGCCTGGTGGTGGCCACGGTGAACAAGGGGTCGGGCATTTGCATCCTAGGCCACAAGCCTTCTTATCTCAAATAATTTAGACAACTCACCTTTCCGAGACCCCCCCCCCCCGCCCCGCTCCTCCGCAACGCCCTGCTGCCTAATTTTGTTTCCACCAGCATTTCTGACATCCCCAGCAAGCCTTATCATCGGCAGGCGCTGTCTGCCACTCTGCTCTGAGACCTGAAAACCACCTGCTCGCAGGCGAACCACTCCTGCATCTGGGGCTCCAGACACACTTGGGGACCGAAACAAAAACGTATCCGCCGCCAGCAGTAGGTGGCACGGTGGGTTACAAACACCAGTGCCCCTTCCCTGGTTTCTGTTTCCCCTCACTCCAATTCAGTGGTTTAATTTTGGTTTGGAAACACATTAACAAATACGAATCCTCTGGGCGCAAAGGAAACGCTCCAGAGTGCATGACGGGGACACACATACCAGGGGCACAGGGGCTGTGCAGAGACCACCAGCACTGTGGACCACTGAATGGTCCACAGCATCTTTCCAACTCCAGACTATTAGGCAGAAAAGACAGGAATGGGGCCAAGAGGTCCAGAGTGAAAATGAACACATTTATGAATAAAAACCAAAACTTCATTTTATTTCTTAAGATTTTATTTTTTAAGTAATCTCTACACCCAACATGGGGCTGGAACTTACAACCCAGACACCAAGAGTCACATGCTCCACTGACTGAACCAGCCAGGCCCTCCAAAACCAAAATATTCTAGAACTGCTTTCCTTTACCACCTTCCTTTCACGGACTGGGATAAAAATACATGAATTTGTTGGTACCGAAAACGGGTGAGAAGACCACATGGGAAGAAGGCAGGACAAGACATCAAGCCATCCCATTTTTGGGATTCCCATAGTGGTGGTAGCCTTCACAGTCACGGGCCGCCCAGAGTGGGTCCTGGGATTGGACATGGAATGTCACCTGGAAATGGCCTCACGGGTCCAGATGAGGAAAGCAAGGCCCCCGCACCTGGCACTTTGTCAAGGTGGAGTGTAGATGTGGATACGTGCTCCAAGCCCAATGGTATTCATGCCCAGGGCTAAGGGCCTGCCTGTTCTCCCTCACTCCACACTCCATTAACATGCAATTTTAATAGGGAATGAAGTTGTAAGCAACCTGAATCCAGTTGCAAAAGACAGAAATTCAACTCACCTTGGGTTGGACAAAATAGAAAACATTCACTGACATAATTGAAAAGTTGATAATTAGGCTTATCTTCAGGTGTGGCTAGATCCAGGAGCTCAAAAGAAGTCTTAGATCAAGCCTTCCTCCATCTCTCCTCTCTTTTTCTCTGTATTGATTCTTTTGCCTACTGGCCCCACTGGGCTTACAACCTTGGTTTAGATCCCAGAAGAAAAAAACCGTGTACCTCTTTCCCAGTAACTGCAACAAAAGCCTGGGGATCACATCCTTTTGGCCTGTTCTGCTCACTCTGGTGTCAAGACTGCTGTCCAAGAGGTTGGGGCACACTGATAGATGTGGCTCAGGGGCTCAAAGTGGAAAGGGGTGGTTCCCAAAGAATTATTCCCAAAGAATAATCAGGCATCTGTTCCCAAAAGGGCAAATGGGTGGTGAGTAAGCAAAAGTAACAGACATCAGAGTAGTTAATAATGATGTCATTTGGTTACTGGGAACCCTGGGAAGGCAGGATTTTGTGTTTTGGGGAGTGATTTTCTTGACTCTCTTTAAGGTCTGCCCCATAGGTAGTCACCTTCTCAGGAGATTGTTTCTTCTCTCTCCTTGCTCTGTGCCACAGGCACAGGCTGGGGGCCAGTCTGAGATGGGATTTTGATTAGCAGCCTTGGACCTGGGCATTTGGAAACCCTCTGGATCCAGCTCCCACAAATGCTCTTAATGTGGGACCCCTTTCTATCAGTTACATCTACCCCCAGGCAGGTGTTGCTTTGATTTTTAAGGGCTGGTGGAAGGAAATACTTTAGTAGAACATTTGATGTGTCTTCGTGATGCTGTACTAATGACCGCCCATAATGGGTTTGACTGTAGCAACCACCACTTGCACCCCATGATGTGGTTTAGCCCTAAAGGGCTGTCTGTTGTCCAGTAGAAAGGGCAGATTAGTAGACATGATCAGAGCCTTCCAGAACAGAGCCATTAAACAGCAACCCACAGTCACGGAGTAGCAGCCACTCTACATTCTAATTTCACTCACCAGGTGATAAGTTGATTTTGCAGTTGATAATTTAACTTCTAACACATAAAAATGTCATTCAGCTGGATCAACTAGTAACTTTCTTTTAAATATGGACTTAAGTTGAAAACAATGGAATTATGCAAAGGGAAGTAATGTGTACTGTCATGCAGGACCCACACTGAGTCTCTTTCTAGGTAGCAAGACCCACATTGAGTCTCTTTCTAGGTAGCATCAAGCTAGCATCGTGGAGGGACTGGCTGGGCACTCTGCATTTACCTGCTCATATTCTAGCCACTGGTCAACCCCAAGCTCGATCTTCTCAAGCTCCCCATTTCTACACTGTGTCTAACATAATAACATATGCAGTGAATAACATAGGCAATAAATACTTAAACAAGAAACAAAAAATAATACACTTAAAGGTTATGGCACAGTGCCCGGCACATAGTATGTGCTTAGTAAATGTCAGTTTTGCTAACTGTAAAGCCACTGGTTTTATAGCGTATGTAGTCAGTTGAATAGTGACAACCGCCCAAGGGGCAAGGATTCCACCAGGGTAGAAAACACTGGCTACAGTGTGCCATTTTCTTCACCCTCATGAATCAGAATAAGACATTTCTCAAAAAGCAGCGTGCACTTAGGTCTTGCCTCAGAAGGGTTTCACCTCCAGCAGCCCTGACATTTCAGCTTCTCTCCCTTCCCTTCTACATCAAGATGACTTTACACCCAGAAAAGGACTGTTATTTCAAGTAAACAGAATTCAGTAACTTAGCGTCATTTTTTAAATTTTATTTTTTTTAAAGATTTTATTTATTTATTTGACAGAGAGAGATCACAAGTAAGCAGAGAGGCAGGCAGAGAAAGGTGGGGGAAGCAGGCTCCCCACTGAACAGAAGGCCTGATGCGGGGCTCAATCCCAGGACCTGAGATCACAACCTGAGCTGAAGGCAGAGGCTTAACCTACTGAGCCACCCAAGCGCTCCTTAGCAGTCATTTTTAAATTGTATCCTAAAGCATTTTTTTTCCCTTAAGGGTTTAGAAATAAAGTGGGCCATGGATTAAAATAGCTATTAAGTGGATCTGGGGGATGGAGCGATGGATGATTGCATCATTATTATGTTTGCATTAGTAGGGTACTGGCATGATGTGTAAAGGCGTGAGCCTCTTATCCGTAGATGAATATGTTTAAGGACAAATACCAGATCGTGGGCATGTGTGCCCCGCACGCCTGCATACAAGATGTGTGATTATTTGCCTTTTCTGATTGGATCCCTGGGTTCAGGTGCACTGCCCCCCCAATGCTTAGCTGCTATAGTGCAGGAGTGCCCTCTACCGAGATTCTTGTGTAATAGCCAAAACCCTCTCCAGAGGCAAATTTGCCTAGTGCTTAGTAAATGTCCAATCCATATTTATTGAACCAATGAATACATAAGTGCCTCCCTAACCTGGTTCTTAGTCTGGAGCTGTGGGACCAGATCTCTTATGGCCCCGCTTCTTAAACTGAGAAAGTGCTTCTGGGTGGGGCTCAGAGCTTGAGGACAGTGATTCTCAGGTGTGGGCTTGGGTCTCGTTTGCTGAGACCAGTGCAGAACAAGGAGGGGTGGTCGGCCAGGAGACTAGACAGCAGAGCAGGAAGGTGTAAGGCCAGGAAAACTGTTCAAAGAATCATAAAATTGATGGAACAGAGAGGAAATCGGCAGCCAGGAAACCCAGCTGAGACTAGAGAGTGGAAAAATCAATTTTTACATCTAATTCAGTGGGCAGGTACGGGCAGCAGTAAATGGAGAGGGAGCCAGGAGTTAAGCATGAAGGAGTCGGTTGGACAGGGAAAGCAACAAGGCCTGAATCAGCCAAAGCCAGGTGGTCCACGACTGAAGTTCTTTGGTGGGAGGGTCTCCTTCACAAAGACCTCCCCACCAACATTTCCAGAAGTCCTGGAGAGTGGCAGCCCAGGAAGGTCTTATCCCTGGAGATGCTGGTCTCAGGTTAGACTTGGAAGAAACTCCAAGACATTGACTCCAAGGAGAGTTTTGTGGACTGGGCAATAGATTTGGGTGGAGACAAGTGTGAATTTGGGATGCCCTAGACTT